GGGGGGGGGGGTAGTTTGCTAGAGGGTTGCACCCCCTTATATATTATTCTGCCGGCGCCCTTGTAAATAAATTATATGTTTGCAGTTATTTTTGTGTATAAGATAAGGCTGTTTTTATGACAAAGATTAATAAAGCAATGCAAAACCACGCTTGCAAAATGTTAATGATAAGAATATTTTTTATCTACAGAAACCATTGCCTTATTTGAAAGAAATTATTACTCAATTTAAAGATGAGGTTAAATAAATGAAGAAATATTATTAAAAATATATAAACTTACATGCTTCGTCAATCAAAGAAATATGGAATCTATCTTCTTCTTCAGTACGTGCAGTATTTTGTTTCGTAAATCGCTATTATGATTCCCACATAATATAAAGTGAAAGTGAAACTAAGTCTGTTCAACGAGAACTGATAGTGAAAGTAAATATAAGGGTTGCTGTTTGATCGCCAACGTTTGCCACTTCAACGGTGTTTTCGCTGAATGGGCGATTTCGTTTGATTCGACAAAGCTTTCGCTTTTATAGAAAAACGAAAACGATATTCGGTATTTGATATCTTAAAATTAGATAAGAAAGCGCAAAATTAAAATATTTACATGAAAATACGTTTCTAATTGTTTCAGTAAACACATAATTTTATTTTGAGAATAGTTTTAATACATTTTTTTTTAAGTTTAAACTAAATTAGTTTTAATATATTTTGCATAAATATCTATGCAAAACATAACTTTTATAATTCCATCGTAAAAGTCGTATAGAATTGAAAGAATTTGTTAAAGAAATACTCTTTATTTTCATAATTAAAATTTTCTTTAAAATTTTTTAAAAGTTAAATATTGTTTAAAATAGTTTTATGTTTCACCGATTGATTTAAAAATATGTTTGAAGGAACTGCATTTATTTGTATTTTCAAACTGCTATCTTTATACTTCCAAGGGAAGTATTAAGAAAATAATTACACTAAAAGAAACTTGGAACTTTTTTATATGTCTCATAAAATCTTTTGCTTAGAAAAATATACCCACTTAACTTATTAAAAAAAGCAGTTTGTGAGCCTCGAATTCAATAGGTTTTTGAAAATAGAATGAAGTATCAAAATTATTTAATTTTGCGTAACAGTTGAGTTTCTATAATTAATTAACAACTGTACCGAAAGCAAAAATTATGATATTAAACTACGCAGACAAGAACAAAATTTTAAGAAATACGGTATTAACGACGGATAATATCGAATAATTATATCATTAAAAAGTAAAAATGAAACTAATCTCAGGATTCACTCTAAAACCTTGTAGAATCCTCGTTGTTGGAATTGATATTTATTACTAGAGAATTAACAGTGTTTTCGATCTCTTCATCCAAATCCCACATCACTTTTTCGATTTTCTGAGTGCTCAATGCAATTTTTCCACTTTTCAACTCCAATTTCATTTAAACTTCTTATGCACAATCCTTCTACTTCCGATAACTTAAAAGTTTTGTTTACTTCCCAGCAAAAAATAACTGCAGTTTTTCTACAGAACTGAAGTAATTTTGCTGTTTTTCTAGAGTTAACTGCAGATTCTCTGCAGAGCAATCTCAACTGTAAAAACACTCAAGTTATTTTGCAGCTAATGAAGCAATTTCTCAGTAATTTATTTCGAAAAACTTTTAGCTATTTTCTACAAAATTACTGCAGTTTAAATAAGGTCACTTTATATTTAGAAAAAACTGAAACTTTAAATCCGTGATTATTCTGCAGTAAATTTGAAGTAATTATGCAGTCATTGTTTCTGAAATATACTTTCTGATGAATCTGCAGAAAAACTACAGGTACTTTGCATTGTTGTAAAATTGAAAGAGTTTGATGTCTTCAATCTTGTTTTCCTGGTTGGGATATCAATTTTTTTATAATGTTTGTCTTTTTTTTTTCTTTCTTTTTTTTGATTATATAATAATTTCTTATAATTAGGTAAAAATTCTAAACATATATATTGATAATGGAAATATCGTACACTACCTATATTCTCAAAAGTTAAAATCCATAAAATACATACTTGATTTAGTTGTAATTTTTTATAATTCAGAAGCAACAAAAACTTTTATGTAAGATTTTGACACAATTTAATTGGTGCAAAATATGCCAAAAATTTAATAAATAGATATTTAAATATTTCTGTATTTTAGTAAACTTATTACTAATCTTATATTTATTAATTTTTATTATTCATATCTTTTACTTAAGAAAGCTATGTTTGCACAAAGTTTATGGTAAAAGCATTATTAAAGTAAAGGCAAGTAGTTAATGTTAATTAGTTAAATTTTTTATTCGACTTCTTACTGAGCTAGGATTATTGCAGAACAAAAAATATACTTACTTTTTCTAATCAAAACAAATATTTACTTTGGATTTTAAGCAAATTTATATCAAAAGAGTTTACAAAATTGAATTTGAAAAGGAATATTTAATAAGAGTTTTTGCTTGACTGATAGGCGCCATATGTGTATTATACCGGCGCCAAGCAGACCAAGTATTGCGCCAAATAGCACGCCGCTTTGTTTACTTTCACTATCAGTACTCGTTGAAAAGACAAATATGAAAGTCTCTTGACTGCAAGAGGAATTTTTTAAATGTAGTTTTGATCGTCATTTGTTTACTTGCTTTTACTAGTCCTGTTTCATTTTCACTGATTTTTATTTAAAAAAATCCATCTTCCTTTATTCTTGTCGGGGAGGGGGTAATTTAAAAAAAATTCGTAGTTTCATTTTTCTTTAATCAATGGTGTGCGAAGTGAGGAGGTCGAAAAATATTATACCAAACACACAGCTATCAGAGTCATCTTATGAATGACTAAGAACACTAAAACATTAAATCTGTTAATTTTATTTTACTACATTATTAATATTTTTACAAATAAATATTTTGTGAAGAAATTATTGAAAGCAATTACAATACTATACATAAATATAATTAGTAAAATTATATTAGGAAAAATAAAATTTTATTATAATATCCTCTTAAATTTACATAAAAATTCAACCTTCAATATGATTTGAAATTTTTAGAAAAAAAGAACATCTTGCCTATGTTATTGCTATTAAAGTTATTATAAACATATTCTCTTTTCTTTCCTTCAGCAATTACTCTCATTTCAGGAGCAAAAGAATTGCCCGAGTATTCAAATACTTCTCCACATCATTGTTTTTAACTGACGTTTTGGAACTTTTAAACGTATTGCTGTGCATTGGTAAGTTCGCGAGAAAGAATTAAAAACTCAGAACAATGCAGGTTTCAAGTTAAGCTGTTAAACTTTTAAAGCTGTTATTTTGTGAGCGTGAATCAATCGGCCATTGAATGCAGTTACTTAATAATCTATATAAATATATGTACTGATAATAAAATCAAGTGAATATTGAAAAAAATAGCTTCGACTCTTCAATTATGAAAGAAAATGTACTTTTCCGTACTTTTTCTTAAAATTTTTTTAAGGATTATTACATTTCTTTGTATTACAATACAAGTTTTTTGTATCTTTATCATTGAAATAGGTTTTAATTTATAGTTTCAGGAAATTTTAATTTTTATGAGTTAAGGAAATGCATGAATTCAGGTCAGTTTTTAAATATTAAAAAATTACACCACAAACGCCCTTCATTTTCACAAAACTGCGGCTTTTCCCCGTAATGACGTTTTTAAGCCATTTTCAAAATAACAGTAGACAGCGATAAACTCTGATTTTTGATCTCTGACATTAAAAGATAAAGTAAAACTTCTGGATGGAAAGATTATCTTATCGTATTCGTAGTCAAATAAATGCAGGACAAAATATTAGATATTTGAACTGTGTACATCATATGTTTAAAACCATATTCAGTTGTGGAATTTTACTGAACCTATTTTTCAGTGCTCCAAAAAATTTATAAATCGAACGTCATGCGCATAGTCCATTAGGAAACATAGTACCTGAAGGACTTGCTAAATATGCTAGTTTTTTAAAAGTTCTACGTAAAGGTATAGTGCTTGGCGTCAAAAAATGGATATTGTTATGAAAAATCAATTTTAAAAAAAAGAAGGAGTTAGAAATGCACTGTTTGCTGCTCTCTGCTTCAGAAACTAGAAAATTCATTCTTGACAAATTTCAAAATTAGTAATGACTGAATGAATGAATTAGTTCCACTGAAGACACTGCTGAAAGGAAAAATTAAATTGCGTCAGGCCTCTTCAATTAAAACATTTGCATGAGAGCCTCTTAAATTGTTTGCATTGTTTTCTAAATTATTGTTATTGGGACATTTACAATTACGACAATTTTTTCTATTTTAGCAGAGCTAATTATAGACCAAAATTTCATAAATAATTTTTAGACAAACTATTTGTTAAAATTTAAGTATTTTTATTATTCGACCTTTAGTATTTCATGTGTATATCATTTTAGTCTAAGAAGTTAGTTTGGGTTAAGGAGGTAAAATGACTGTTAAACATATTTGGAAGTTGAAGATACCTATCGATTCTCGGTTCTACTTTTATGCTATTTTTAATCGTTATTGGGTTGATTACTTTCCACTGCTGTTCACTGAATGTGCTATCTGTAAAAAAGTTCAAGAACTAAATTCGGATTTAAGTGATATAAATTTTGCTCGGATTTAAATTCGAATGAAGTTCTGATTTAAGATCTGCTGTTGTGTTTTTGTAAGCTATACAGTAAAAACTATCATTTCATATCGAATTTACTATCAGTAAAGATTTTGTCTAAATTTAGAAATTATTTTTAGACTCGTTCCGACTTCAAAAATTGTTGTTCCTGGTTCTAATTTTTCATTTGGACATAACTCTGAATTAAACCGAACCGAATTTTAGTCCAAAAATGCAGGTTTTTTTTGTCAACAAGCAATGCAAATGTGCATTGGTTTACGGGAAAAAATTGGATCACTACAAGTAAGAAAATTGAATGGAGTAATATGATTAAATAGGGTTCAGAAAAGGGAAAGAAAACCTTTACTTTTAAATAAAAAACGATGAAGGAACAATAGAACTGCTTTTAAAAAAACAAATTGCAATAGTTAATATTTTTTTATTCAAGTAAATTAAGCTTAATATTTTTTTCTCTAAGAAAAGCTTTGATTATTTTGAATTTGGTGGTACTACGCCATTTTTATCATCCAAAGCATATCAACTTTTGGTTAGCTTTGATGCGTTCATTTTGCTGCTTGATTAAGAAGACATATCGAGATCCTACAGAGCCATAATAATAAAAAACTTCATAAATTGAACAAGCTCGAATATTAAGCAGTTACTGTTCAAGCAAACCACGCTGGACACTTTCCTTCTTGTTGCATCTCTTCTTCTGATATTACTGACTTCTCTGCTTTTGGTAGTACAACGCCATTTTTATTATCAGGAGGATCACAATTTTCGTTTAACTCTGAAGTTTTTATTTTACTGGTTGATGGACAAGATTGAGTACTGTCTTTTTTCATTAAAACGCTTTCACCTTTAGTTCCATTTTGTAAATTGCTATCTTCTAGATAATTTGTATCTTTTGGCTTACAATTAATAATTTCTGTTTCGTTAAAACAACTATTTAGTAGTTCTTTTTCAGTAACGGAAGTGACAAACACCTCATTGGTTTTTTTCCATTCGTGAGACTTTCCTTCGATTTCAATTTCATCAGGTGGTATCAATCCTTCTTTTTGAAGTATTCTCAAAGCCATGTGTTCAAAAACCTAAAACAAACAAGAAATTAAAATTGTTAAATTTTAAACAAAACTGCTTAAATTGTTTGACCCCTAGTTCCCTTTCCAGTTAAACATTTAACAATAATTACAATTAATGCATTAGATTTTAAACCAGGGTGGATTTTAAAAGACAATTTTAACATTAATTATAGCAAAATAACTATACAGCATGTAAACTGCACAACATATTGAATTGAATGAGATTTTTGATAATATTAGGTAAGAAAACGAAGTATCGAAGGTCTTGAAAGATGGTTGCAAAATAAAAAATAAGATTAAAAACAATTTTTAAGAGATCATATGGAAATGTTTTCCTTAATGCACGTTTTTAAAGGTGTTTACATGAAATAAATGTTAAGTATTTTAAAATTATGCATTTCCATCTATTTTTTGTTGCCCACTCTCTTAGAAACATTATAAACGATACTAATATGAAATATCTTAGAGTGTCGTAACATTAGATATCCTACTATCATATAACCATGTGAAGAGTTAATTAAGCTAAAGAAAATTTCCATTTAGAGAAAAAGGATCGTAGTCATAACGCTAAGATCAAATATGTTTGAACATCTTACTTCGTTTACATTTCCACCAGAAAAGGTGTTGCATTCTAAAACCTCCAGATTTTCACTTCGTGCAAATTTTTTACCAGTCTCGCTTGATACTTCTTTTTCATTTAAGAGATCACATCGAATTCCAACTGTCAACAAATGAAGAAACGTTACAATTCTACCAAAAAATGTGATAAATACATATGTTTTTCGCAGAAGTAAGACGTAATATATGATTGTTACAAAACTTTGTTTAATTTTATAGAAGGAATACATATATTTATTAAACGCAAAAAATAAATAGATTATTCCAAATTTCAATCGACAAATTCAGATGGGTGATAGTAAGCATCAAGGAGAGAAAAATGCGAAAGAAGAAAGATAGAAAAAGAATACAAAAAAGAAAAGAAAGAAAAACGCGTTATACCCAATACCTCAATCAGTAGGTTATTTCGACTCGCTGGATGCTACTAAAAAAGATACCGTAAATCTGCTAACTTCAAGAAAATTATCTGCTTAATTATTATAAAAATTAATTGAATCATTCTTAACCATCCATAAAAGCCATTTTTGAACGTGGCTCTACCTTTCGTTCTCCCAGATTAAACCTATGCGTCTTTATTTGCAATTTTAAAACTCCCAACCGGGTGTAGGAATAATTTTATCACCCATCTGAATGTATAGGTCGAATATTTGAACATCGTGTAATTAAATGAGAAATATTCGTCTATTTCTCTACACAAGTTATATATGAACATTGCTCTGCCAATGATTGCATTGATACACTGTTTGAAACATTAAAAAGTATTGAGCAATAATATAGTCCAGATTCTTAAGAATTATAATTCGGTGATAAGTATACATCTTAAATCGCACAGTGCGCAAAATTAAATGCAGATCACACTGATTAAATTCTGATCCAATGATCGGAATTATAAGTTTAAGGTCTTAATCTTAATGGTTCAAGAGGATAACCTCAAACATGCTAACTAATTTTTTTATTTATATCATAACCGTCGTTGAACAGCCGACCGAATTTTCAGTTTACAACTACTGATGTTCAAATCCGTATCATCGTAATTTTCAATGCAATCCAGAAGACGAAGGACTCCTAGATCAAGTATTGGGAGAAATTCACCTTTGTGGTGGACTTTTTGCCGACCCAATTTTATGGGTTTACGACGGCATGCTAATTATTTAGTGCATACGATATTTTAACTTGGGAAATCGGACGCAAAAAAAGTTTTCTCTGAATAAACATTAAGGGGTCCAAACTTTGGACCGCTCTCCTGATCAAACTATGGGAAACATATTTTCCCGATTACTGCTATCGCTTATATTTTAGCGGTCTAAAATCCAATTCAGTGGACAAAAATGTTTGCTTAAAAAGTGAAATTACGTTTTTGTGATTAATTTTGTAACTTAAAAAAATTGTCTGTACCGACCATTAGATCACAAATTATTCAAGAGGATTATTTTTTTCTTCTTTTTTTTGAGCACTGAACAATGGTTTAACTTGAACGGAAAAGTGAATCATTTTAACGCTAGATGAAATTTTTAGCAAGATCGCACATTTGCGATTCAAATTACCGGTCTTAGGAATCAATATTTTATTAATTTTCTGGAGAGTCTAACTACTTGAGAAGTACTGTTTAGCTTTAATGTTGCTAAGTTATTTGGTATGTAATGTCCACCCTAGTATTTTTCTGTTATTGGAATAATATAGTAATTAAGGTCTTATAAAATGCAGTAAGTCAATATTTAATGTGAAAAGAGTTTCATGAAAGTATGAAAAATCGTTATCAAGATCAGCATTTCTATCTGTGAGGTTTGAATCATCACTAAAAGAATTCAACTGCTAGGAATTTGAATTACGGCATATAGCAAATGTCATTTAACTCATATAAGAGTGGAAAAAATCTATTGGAGATTACTGTGTTATTAGCAAAAAATCGTTTCAGAAAATTTGCTGCAGACTAAATTAACTTAAATTTTAAATTTATCATAAGGAATCTTAATTTTTTTTATCAATTTGTTGCTTTAGAGTGTTCAGATCAATTTCAAAAACTAAAGTAGAAAATAAAAACTTACTTATAAATATAATGATTTGTGGATTCCACTCTCTCACATCCTTAATCCATTTGGAGAGTTCTAGAAACGTTAACACATTTGCAACATTATACAGTAAAAGAACACCGTGTGACTGTTTAACGTTCCTTAATATAAAGTGAAAATATTGTATTTGTGTTTGATATATANATTATAAATATATATACATACATATATTATAAATATATATACATACATACATACATTAGAAATAATACCTTCCTTGTACACACAGTGACAAGATGGTATATCCGAAGATCCCTTTCATTCGATTCAGCGTTAATGAAAACCATACCTCAAGTGAGTAAATAGCAATATTTAAATTTCTCCCCCATTCCCCTCTCCATCCAAAGCTCCACTCACGACATCATGAGTTTTTTAAAACTTACTATGAAGAGTGTACTTACTCCATAGTTTGTGTGTACATAGTTTGTTTCATACTTTATTAATTTTAAATATACAGCTTTTTTAAAGTTTGACTTCTCAGGAACTATTCAACCGATTTCGCTCAAATTTCGTATTTTACTATGTCAAATCAGTTACTTTAAAATGATGTAAAACATTTTATAATTGTAGGTAAAGATTTTTCAATTCAATTAAAAATTTCTCGAGATATTGCGTAATACGCAAAAAATAAAATTCACATTTTGGGTTCAAACTTTGGATTGCTCTCCTGACCATATTTAGCAGATTGCGGCTACATACTATATTTTGAGGGTCAAAATCTAAAATAAAGGTATGGATTGGAAAAAAAGTATGTTTATTCAGAGAAAGTAAGTTTTGTGCCCGATTTCGTCACCTCCTGGAAATATTTTGATTGAGACTAGAACGTGAAGATGAAGATCCGATTATTAGACCCAAAATTATTCTGAGTGATCCGTTTTTTTTCTTTGCGTGCTGTGCGTTATATTTAAATATACTGTGCATTTTCTTCTCATTGAAATTTTTTATCTCTTTAATTTTCAACATAAAGGGCTATGAATAGCTGTTACGAATTTACAACAGTTATCGAAGAAGTACAATATTTGCTAAAAGGCATAATTTCATATATATATATATATATATATATATATATATTGTGACATCACACACGTACGTCGATATTCTACTCCTCAATAGTTTTTTTCAGTTTTCGTTCATTTAACCACAATAGCCTTCTACTATTTTAAATTGATCAATTAATTTTTATATCGATTATTCCCACCTTAACTTTATCCGACTAGCGCTTTGCCTCTTTCCGCGTGCCTTCTTGGCGTCAGTTGAGGAAGCCAACGTGTGAGAGAAACATCGCTCTCATTTTTTAAAAACTTTTAGGCGCTCGCCTTCCAGATGAATATCTCACATTTCACCTTTTTATAAAGTATAGTATGGAAGTAAATTTAAATTAAAGTTTAGCAATTAAATTTTAGGAAAAATCCCATTTTTGTTTCAATTTGAACGTTAGCGGATTAAGACGCACAACATGGCGACACGTGTACCTGGCACCAATAGTTGGCGAGTTTTCCTAGTTGCAGTCCCCAAGTCTACGATGATCCTGATGTTTACATATTACTGATGTTCACAAGTTGTTGATTCTAATTTTTCCCTTTAAGGAAAAGGAAGTTTCGTCTGATTCAAAAATATGATCCAGAATTTGCGTTCCACATGAGGGATTGAATGCCATCTAAAAGAGAGCCAACTTCATCAATGAACCTTTATCAATGAGATCTGCGAAATAAAGTGAAGTTTTATATTTTGAACCATATGCCCTCTATGACTCAATATCAACAGCACTTGACCAGCTATTGAATCTGGAGATCCTTCTGGAACGAAGGATCAGGTAACTCATTTGGACAATGTTTTTTTAAAAGCTATACGATCTTCTGTTTATTTCCATAATATGACAGTACAGTAAAATTTCACATTTTTCCTTTTATGTAATTCCTGCGATGAATTTTATTCACTTTTTTTTAAATGTCCATTTTCCTATTATTTAAACTTCTTAAATCGTAAATATACGATATATGTATATTTTTTTTTTGTTTTTATAAATTCTTGAATTTAAAACAGCGTTTTTCCAAACCTTAGAGTGAGTAAAAACTCTAAAATTAAGTTCAAATAGTAAGAATAAAATGCTAAGACTTAGGGCAACATTTATGAGTGTTAATTTAACTCAACGTTTGTCTTCTCAACGTCGAATACAGCGATATTTACATTTGGTTTAAATGACAAGTAGCTCAATACATTTTGCGGATGAAATACATGAAATTTCAGATAAATTGAAGAACTATTTAGCAACAAAGAAGAAATGCGCACAAAAAACCTTCTATAAAAATAATTTTCCTAAACTTACCCGGGCACAAGATATCGAAGCGTCCATTGACCAGGAACATTATAAATAACAAATGTTTCGTTGAAGATGTTAACTATAATTCTATATCCTTCGATATCGAGCCCGGTTCTCCTATTGCATGCTATAAATTAAAAATAAGTTAGAGTAAGAAAAAAGAGTGAGAAATCATACCCAATATGATTGAATAATCGATAATTTAATAATTAGATTTTTTAACAAAAGTTAGTTCAAAAAACTTAATGACAGAAAATCATAACAACATGGAGAAGTTACAAGAAGTGGCCTTCTGCTGAAATTTCACATCATTCGATGGTAACAATACACGAACACAGGATTTAATTACTAGCAGTGTCAACAGTGTGGTTTCATGCAAATTAATTCTTTTTCAGTTATAGTTGCACAAAATGAAAGTTAAAATTTCACATCATTTGATAATGGCAACAATACACGAACACGGGATTTAATTACTAATAATATCAACAGTGAGATTTTATGCAAACAAATTTTTTTTCATTCCTAGTAGCACAAATTAATGTTAAAAATTTGCACGGTATAATGGCGACATTACGCGAATGCAGGATTTAATTAATAGTAGCGTCAGCAATGTGGCTTCATGCAAACTAATTTTTTTTGTCATTTATAGTAGTAAGAAATTTATGTTAATATTTCCCATCATTTGTTAATGGCAACAGTACACGAACACAGGATTTAATTACTAGTAGTGTTAAAAGTATGGTTCCAAGCGAACTAACATTTTTTCATTTATAGTAGCACAAAATTAATGTTATAATTTCACATCATTTTAAAATGGCAGCAATACTCGAACACAAGATTTAATTACTAGTAGTGTCAACAACAAACTAATTTTTTTTTCATTTATAGTAGCACGAAGGTAATGTTGTGATTAAAGAAAAAAATGTATACAGATGCGTTATGGAAACAAATCTTTTTGTTATACTTTCAAATGGAAAGTTTGATCCTGGCATTTGCTTTACTTTTTTCTGTATAATTTATTCATTAAAAATCTTTTGGAACACTTAATTATGATCAACTATTACTATGAAAAGCATTTTCAGTTAAAGAGTTGAAACAATACTGGTAAACTTTGGCGATTATATAACAACACATTTCTTTTTTTTTTCTTTCATATCTCTTATTTTTTTCTTTTTTTCTTTTCGACTGCAACAAACAAACAAAAAAAGAAAAAGAGCGAGCTTATATTAGAATAAAAATTTCGAAAGATGAATACTTTTTCCTTCTTGTCCTTGCAACAAAACATACATGGTCACTGCTTGAAACAAAAATTTAAAGCAATAGAAAGAAAATAACACCTAAAATTGCAAATTTACTGAATGAGTTGAAATTTTGAAGAAAAAAAAACTTTTATTTCAATAAAAGAACTTTGAAGAAAATTACGATTTACACTCCTGATTTTTAATCTACATTTATGAAAGCTGTACACACAAAACAACTAATACTAATAATAAAGAAAATTATTTATACCAAATCAAAAATTTCAATAGATTTGAAGTAGAAATTTATACCGAAAAAAAGGGGTGAAATTACCTGCTAAACTTCCAGTTCGACATACTTCCAATATACCTGTTTTTCCCACCACTGAAATATAAAAATAATTGGATAAAAATTAGTATCTAAGAGAGAAAAATAAAATATACAAACTATAAAATAAAATTTTTTTTCAAGAAAAAGAAGCTTATTTTTAATAAATGAATATATAACTAAAATAGAGTAAAAAAAGTGACTATAAACTCAAAATGTGAACACGTTAAGTAAATTTTCTCTAATAATCGGATTTTCACTTACTAGGACTCTATCTTAAAGGTTCAAAAGCCTAACCTTGAAATTGCTAATTAATTAATGTCGACGATATGTTACGAAATTCGACCCAAAAATGCACAGTGTGCGGGAGAAAAAAACACCTTAGAAAACTTTTGATCAAATGATCGGATCTTCTTCTAGACCTCAAACTTAATGATTCAAGGGGGTGACCTCAAATATGCTAATTAATTGCAGACGATATTTTAAGTTACGAAATCAGAAGTAAAAAGGTACTTNACCGCTAAAAAAGTTCACTACATCCGAGTGTTCACTATATCCCAGGTTCACTATAGCGGGGTTCGACTGTATTTTATTTAGAGTTTCCCAGTAGTTGAATTCGCTATTAAGGATATTTCTTACAATCGCAATAAAAACTCAAAAGAACAACTTTTACTTAAAAAAATGGAATGCTATTAAAAAGATCATAGACATTAAAGGTCTTTTTTGAAAAAAAAATTCATAATATTTCATGAAAAGTTTTATCATGCATTGCTCCAAGAGAGGAGTTAGTTTCAAACAAATTGGTATTTCAAAGTAACGAATAACTTTAATTAGGAAATAATTTTAAATTTAATAATATATGTAGTTTTAGAAAAAGATTAAAGAATGGGGATAAGTTTTCGGATAACGTTTTCTGCAATGCAGCCGGGTAGTGGAAAAGGCGACAATTTTTATTAACAAGATTAATGAAACAATGTTAAATTAACTAAAAAAAATTTATGGTCCTTTTAAAAATTTTTTTATCGAGAGCAATAACCGCGAAATTTGAAATAAATTATTATTCAAATTGTAAGATGAAATAAGGAAACAGCATTAAAAAGATGTTAACTTACATGGTTCTCCTATCACACAAATTTTGAACTTTTTTTCTTTCGAAATATTGAACATTTTTTCTTCTTTTTTTTCATTTCTGTGTGCATTATTATTTCCCATTTTAATTTTTTATGTTAAATGATTTCTGTTGTCTTCATCAGTCACTCGTTTCCTGATTATTTATCGCAAAGTTTTTCTCTCCTAGAAATAAAAGTATTTCAATAAAATATAAGTAAATAAAATAAAAATAAAAAGAATATAATCATTATAAAACTGAAAATAGACAATCCTTATTTTAAAATGTTCATACTTTCACGTATGAAGAACCAATCTTTATGTTTCAAAAGGTTTACCTCAAATATGTCAAAGTTGACTGTTACGCAGTCGCCCGTGCATTTGCAATAGCGGGAAAAATTAATGACTGCATACAAGATAGCGAAGTATCTAATGAAATTTTGAAATATCAGTAAAAAAATGTAACTAATAATTTTTATACGACTTTATATAAATTTATTTACAAAGATTTAAGATACTCTGACAGTATAAGTTCATTTTTTCTTTTAATACTTGATAAGATTTTTCAATTTATTTTTATACACCAACTTCACTTTCATCTTCAATCAGTCTTTTTGACTGCCTCTTTTTTTTCTCCTTTTTTTCTTACTTTTTTTTTTATTTTTTTTTTTTTTTTTTTGCTTTATTCTCTCCCATAACTCAAAAATATCTTCTTGATCATATTTAGATATCAAACCTACCAATGTTTTCTTTACAGAAAAAAAATGAGAGAGAATTTCTCACCCTTTCTCAAAAACAGGGTGAGATCTCAAAAAGTTAAGTGAGATTTCTAAAAATTAAAAAAACACGAATAGACTTGGAAAAGAAATATTTCTTTAATTATAATACATTTTTAACATCTTCTAATTTTTAAAGCATTGAATATTTTTGCTGCATCATCATATGGGAAACGTTCTTTATCTACTTTTCTCATTAGGTTGCTCAAATGTTTATCAGTCATTTGTATACGATATTTTGTCTTAATTCGGTTTTGAGTGCTAAGTGACCTTGCAACAGATGCTGAACAATTCGGAATCACTTAGTAAATGTGCAGCATTGAAAAAAATTTAAACGTCTTACATGAAGAAATCTTACCTTCCGTGAAGACGTGGTTGCAGAAAAATGTGTTCTGAAAGGTGTTCCGTCATTCGGGGGGGCATTGTGCTCTGCTGTTCGCACCGGTTCTGAACAATACTGGTGAATAGAGAAGCTAGACTCAGGGATCCATGTTGAAAATAATTAAAGATCAAAGAAGAAAAGTGAAACGGATTTTATTCAAAATGGCAGAAGACGAATTTTTTTCCTTAATTCGCTCATTTTGAAATTGATTAATAG